GGCTCGTCGCGGCCCCTGTCGTCCTCGTCATGCTCGCGGTGTGCGTCGGCTTTGAGCTCGGTGCGCAACTGGACTTGGCCATCGATGCGAGCCTCTTGCAGACGCATTGCGTCCTCCTTGGCGATGACACCTGCTACGATCGAGGCCATTTCGGTCGCCATGCGTCGCGTCGAGCTACTACGACGTGCCCAGGAGGGCTGCAGCGCCGACGACCGTGCCACCAAGCTCGCCTGCCGATTGGTGGGTTGGTAGACAGTACCATGTTCGTTGACAACGCCACTGGCGGCGCTCGCCTCTGGCGCTGCCATGCTGTCGTCGCTAGGCGATGAGCGGCGCTCGTAGGCGGTGCAGCAGCCCAGGTGCGACGTGAGCCGTGTCGTCGAGTACGAGACCGACGCGCCGCAGTGTTTGCAGAGCGCTCGCGCTGTGGGCGTTGGCTTGGACTTGTCGTGCGGCGGCGTGAACGGCTCTTCAAAGTGGGCCTTGAGCGCGCTGACCTCGGCGACCGTGCGATTACGCCGCAGTGCCATCGCAAAGGGCAAACTGGGTTATCCGGATACCGGATACCGACCTGTCCGAATCCAAGCTATTGCAAGACCTGTGCGCTGAGCTTGGTGCAATCCGCGATATCCGTCGATGCCATCAACCCCTTCGACCGTACAAAGCGCCCTATGTTGTGGAGAATATTGTCTTCCTAATGATAGACCAGTAGATGTCTAACTTGTCGACACCAGGCCATGTTCTTGGACGGGAATTAGCCGCACGTTGGATCCGGCAGAGAAGAGACGCACGGTCGGATACAAGTTGACATCGCTGACGACGTTGTGCAGGCTCGTGGGGAGCAGCACGCCGTCGACTGTAAACGAGATCCGTTGCTGGAGGCGGTGCCACGTCACTTGAAGCAATGCAAGCTGTGGCACCTTGGTATCGAGGAGACCATTGGATCGAGGCTCGTCGTGCGAATAGACTGTTGCGTTGCGACAGCTGAAGAACCAGCCGCGGGTCGCTTCATTGCGTTCGGGCACCGGCGACGTCTCGTCGAGATACGGAAGGAATCCGGCTTCAACGGCGTGGAGACCGAGATGCACGAGCACGGCGAACGTTGTCACTGGATGCGACGCGACGACACTGGCCCAGCCACGACTCGGGTGCTTGGCAAGCATATTGCCGTCCGCTAGTAGAATCTGCTCCGAGCACCGGCGCGGGTCCCACTGCAATGGCATGATCGGTGCCGAGGGCGCCGGACTCTCAATCTGGATCTGGAGGTAGTCGAGCATCTCCCGGAGGTCCGCTTCTTGGTTGACTGTGAGTCCCTCGACATCCAGTCTGCCCGATCGAAGGTACTTGATCACACGTTTAAACGTACTCGCGTCCAAGTCCAAAAAGTACTCGCCTACCGAGAATCGTCGTCAGTACCGATTGCCACAGAGAGAAATATGACGTTGAACCTTTCTCATTGGGCAGCCAGTGATCCGATGAGAGCATCGCGTCAAAGTAGCTGCCTGGCATACGCAGCAGCGTCTCGCGCGCGGTCATAAACAGCGTGCCGCCGACGTTGAGTGTGATCGTCTTGGCTGGCGTAAGGAGATGATCGATGGACTCGTCTGCGTCTGGTTGGCGTCGATGGTTCTCAGCCTTGAGCTCCGCAAGCAGCTCGAGCTTGGCGTCGATGCGCGCTTCTCGCTCTTGCAGGGCCGCTTCGTGCAGCCGCAATGCTTCTTCCTTGGTCGCTACGTCCGACGCAATCGCAGACAACTCGTCAACAAGCTTACAGAGCGCGTCCGACGGCGTCTCGTCCAGCGCCGCCACCAAGGCTTGCAGCGCAGCGCAGCGGGCGGCCAAGGTTAGGCCGTCGACCATCGTGTCAAACTTCGTCAAATGAGTCTGCCAATCCAAGGCTCCGTTGGACACGTCCGGATATGAGAGTGACAGGTGCCGGATAAGGTCGGTCCAGAGATACCCGTGCTCGCTCGCCCAGTCGTGAAATAGCTTGTTCATTATATTCGGACGGCGACTTGACGACATTGATGTAACTGCCGGACACCATGGCCGGACACGGCGTCATCGACGCTTCAGCGTGACGTTCTTGCGTCTTGATGCAGCAGGTTTGCCTCTCGATACTGTCGTCCTCAAACCAATTCCTTGGATTCACGACACGATTGTATTGTGAGAGTCCCATTACCGCGTCACTCGAGCCACCAAAGTATGAAATATTTCATGTAACAAGTTCCAAGTGGCAGCTACCGGTAGCAGCAACTTTTGTTCTCGTAAAGCGGCTTGGTTTGGCGTTTCCATGACCTGGCAGTCCCAGCGACGCTTGAAACCGTCACAACTTTAACTTGAAACATCAAATTATTAAAAAAAATTGTGATCGGATTTTTCGGGTGGCTGACCCGATAAAACTTCTCGGCATCTGATTGGCTAAAACATCCTATGACGTGGCAAGCGGAAAACAGCGGGGCCCATGCAAAGAACGAACATGCGCGAGCGCAAGGATAAAACAAAGCGCTGGCTTAAACGAATTAGCGTAGCAGAGCTTCGGGCATTGATTTTGATTCCCTGTACGCATGACATATCAATACATTGCCGCGGCAATCGAATACCATCCGTTTTACCTTCCTGGCGTGTCTTGCTCTTGAAAAACGTGATGCCAATTGCGTCGCCTTCGCACGAGAGGTGTTCACGCGCACCGTCTCCGTTGACTTGGATCAGCAAACGAGGTTACGTGGTATCGTTAGCCGTCCTCACCGAGACGCTAGTCCTCGTCTAAGGTGAGCGCACGCTTCGCATTCGGCACCTTGCTCTAGGACTGGCTTCGCGACGCAAGCGTGCGCCAAATGCCTACACAAATCACGTAATCACAAGAAGTCCAGTATTGAAAGTCGATATTGTACCAGCATACACCTCCTTCATATCATCGCCGTGGCCGGCAGGCTAAGGCACGTTCCGGTCCTTGTACACACTCACGAGCGCACTGCGATAGCGACTGAACGTCAACGTCGTGACATTCTTATAGCGCACGATATACTCGAGAAACTGGAGAAAGTCGTCGTACTCGAATGCGCGGACTTCAAACGTCCAGCCGTCCTTGGCTTCGTCGAATGAGCACGGCTCCTGGAGACCGGGCTCCTCGTACTCCTCGCGCACCCATTTCTTTACCTGGTTGAGGTTGCTCTCTTTCGTCTTCCGAGATGACGTTGTGGTGCGCATGTGCCGAGCGTCTTTGATCGTAAACTCTGCGAGGTCGATCTCGCCCGCGCTGTCTCGGCTCGCTGCCATGCCTTGAGGATCGCAGCTTCCATTTCTTCTTAGCACTGATTCGTCAAAAAACGAGGCTTTTCTACGATTTTTGTAGCTTTTGATTGGACGCCATTTTTGCGGGCTCCAGCCCGCAAAAATCTTTTCACCAGGCGCTTATGCAATAATATAAAATCACACGTAGGTGTGACGAAATAACTCAGTGATCATCGGGAATATATTTAGATTGAGATTCAGTGGTCATCGAGATTGCAGAATTTATATTTCGGCTGTTTCAAGGCAGCCTTGTCCGGTTATGTTATCTGGTTATCCGGTTAACGCATGTAACCCCGGAGAAAACCCGGATGTAACCCCGGAGAAAACCCGGTTCACGAACCCGGAGAAAACCCGGACAAAGATCCCGGAGCGAGTCCGGTATGAAGTGCCGGAGAAAACCCGGTCGGAAACCAGAGCAATGAGCAACGCTAAAATAGACTGCGGCACGCTGTCACGTGTGGACGTGGACCAGCTGAAGAGCGTGTGGCATGGGCAAGTCTATCTTGTCGACCAAGAAAAGGCGTGTGGAAAAGTCGAACGACGCTGAATACGATAGCAATTGCCTCCTCGCTGCGGCCCTTTTTCGAAGGGTCGCCACCGCAGAGCACACAGTATCACAGCAAGCTGCCCATGCAACGCCCTCATGTAGCCCGCCAGCATCGCGCAGCGGTTCCCGTACCGCACTTGCAACTGTCCACGAGGGCATTGTGTCACCATCTGGCTCGCCTGCGTTTGCGGATGCGCCTCTTACTCCCGATGCACCAACGACTGAGCCCATTGACGATACGACTGAGCCGATTGACGATACGTACGACACTGACGACGAAGAGTTCGGGTCTCCGTATCAGTCGGAAGTCTATCGCAGTGGTGTTCCACTCGGTGCCTTTGCAGCCACCGTCAGAAAAAAGGAACGGCGACTGACGCATCGTCTATGGCGTCATCATGCTTCAGTTGCGTGGAAGAATAAGCCTGCGCCCGCAAAAATGGAGAAGCCAGTGCTTACAACAGAGTGTCGCCCGACAAAAGCAGAGTAATGATATATTTTCGTTTCTAGCCAGTAATGCATCAACACTATCCTACACAAAGCAGCGCACATCTGGCTATGCCAAGCCGGCCTGCTGCATTAGCCCATGAAACGTGCCGCGTTGCTGGAGCAGCGTCGCCGGCGCGTCAAACTCGTCGACCTGGCCTTTCTCGAGCACGAGGATGCGGTCGCAATGCAAAATGGTCTCGAGGCGGTGTGCAATGACGAGCAGCGTCACGTTGACAAAGCACGTGCGGATCGCGTCCTGGATGAGACGATCGGATGCCACGTCGACGTTGGCCGTCGCTTCGTCCAAAACGACGATCTTGGACTGTCGGAGGAGCGCGCGCGCAATGCAGACGAGCTGGCGCTGGCCCACCGAGAGGTTGGCACCGCGCTCGGCCACGTCAAAGTCGAGGCCGCCGAGGCTCTTGACGTACGAGGCCAGCTGCACGTGCTTGAGTGCGGCCCAGAGCGCCGCGTCGTCCGCATCGCCGGACGGATCCAAGTTGAAGCGCAGCGAGCCAGAAAAGAGTACCGGGTCTTGCGGAATGATCGTGAGCTTGGACCGGAGCGACGTCACCGAGATGGACGCAATATCGACGCCGTCGATCGCAATGACGCCGGCGTCCACCGACACGAGGCGGAAGAGGGCGCTCACAAACGAGCTCTTGCCCGAGCCGGTGCGGCCGCAGACGCCAACCTTGGTGCGGCCGGGAATGACGAGATTGATGTCGCGGAGCACGAGCGGCAGGTCGTGGCGGTAGCGCATACTGACGTCGGTGAGCGTGATGCACGCCTCACTTGGCCACGCCGCGTCGTCTTCCATGATGGTCCGACTCGTACGAATGTTGTCTTGCTTCTGGACGTCGTCTTCACCAGGAAGCGAGTCGTAGTGCGCGAGCCGCTCGACGCACGTCATCATGTTGTCCATGTTGTTGTAAAACATGGCCGCTTTCGAGAGGAACGCCGAGAGCTGCGCCGCGTACGTGAGCGAGAGGCCGGCGGCGACGACGCCGATCGAGCTCCGGAGACCGATGCAGAGAAAGGCCACGGCGACCACGATGCCGGCCGAGAGCATGTCGAGGCGCATCTGGAACCAACACCGGCTCAGGTAAAACGTACTAAAATACCGCATGTGCGCATCCAGTCGGGTTCGGTTCCAGACGACAAATGTCGCCGCGAGCCCAAACGCCCGGATCGTCGTGAGACCGTCGAGCGCTTCGGCCACGAGCGTCACGAGCGGCGACCGTGTCACGAGCTCGAGCCGCTTGAGTGCACCGGATGCCGGGTTGAAATACGTCTGCGCCTTGTAAAAGAGGTACCCCATCAACGGGTACAGCACGAGCACATACGGCGTCGAGAGGCCGCACACCACCAGCACGGCGAGAATCTGGAAGAGAAACTGCAAGAGGAGGTACCCGTAAAACGGAATCTGGCTGTCGAGCGTGTCGAGGTCGGTCGCGAACCGGTTCAGAATGCGTCCGAGCGGCGTCACGTCAAAGAACGTCGGGACGGGCAGCGAGAGCACCTTGCGGAAGAGCCGCGCGTGCAGGTGCAGCGAGCACTTTTGCGCAATGTAGAGCGCAAAGAGGCTCCGGCCGACGACCAATGTCAGCGCACCGAGCATAATGCCGCCGTATACACCACCGGCGCCGAGGCTCTTGGCGAGCGACGCGGTGGTCGCCCAATGGCCGAGGTACACGTCACCGGCAACGACGCATCCTTGGCACGCGCCGTAACTGAGCACGATGGTGGCGACGACCACGGCGCTGTTCCAGCCGCTCGAGCCAAAGTACGTGGCGTACGTCTGCAGCGACACGGCGCCGTTGACACGGTCTTCGGTTGTCATAAGTGCCGGTCTCGAGGTCTTTGTCTCGTCAGCTGTCGTCGCTTTGCTGTCCATTATTGGCGTCGTGTGCTCGGACGACGTTGGCATTACCTTGGTCTCGGTCGCATGCGTGGCCACGAGGTCGGGAAATGCGTCTTGCAGCGCATCAAACGGTCCGTCGCCAACGATGCAGCCGTCGGCCATGACAAGCACACGGTCGGCCAGCGGCAGGAGGTGGTAGTGGCTGTTGAGCACGAGCACCACCGTCTTGTGCTCCAAGAGTCCTTGGATGCCGTCGCGAAAGACGCTGCTGGCGACGTGCACGTCCAAAGCGCTGAGCGGGTCGTCGAGAAGGAAGACGTCGGCGTCCGACTTGTAGAGTGCGCGGGCCAGTGACACGCGCGCCTTCTGGCCGCCGCTGAGGTTGATACCGCGCTCGCCAATCTCGGTGGCGTCGCCCGCCGGGAGACTCGCGAGGTCGTGTCGCAGCTGACACGCGTCCAGGACGGCTCCGTACTTGGCGGCGTCGAGATGGTCGCCAAAGAGAATGTTGTTGCGCAGCGTGTCGTGCTGGATCCACGCCTCTTGATTCGCAAACGCGACGTTGGTGGCGACGCGGCGACGACCGTCGACCAACGGCATCTCGCCAAGGAGGGCGTGCACAAGACTCGACTTGCCGCTGCCGACAGGTCCCACGACGATCGTAAGCGACGGCGTCGTCGTCGCAATGGACACGGAGATGCGGTGCAGCGTCGGTGTTTTGTGCCACGCCAGTGTCGCATCGACCAGTGCAATCTCGGTCGCCGTCGGTGGCGAGGCGGCGGTTGTTGCCACGGGCGGCGACGACGGCACCCGAGACGGTACCCGGGACGACACCCGAGACGGCACCCGGGACGACGACGACGGTGGTAATCCCAGTGGCGCCGTCGCGTCGCAGAGCAAGAAGGCGTTGACGCGGTCACATGACGCAAACGCATCCGTTGCGTGCATGACGGCGTTGGAGAAGATCATGCACGGAAGGCTCGCCGTGTTCATGAGTGCGAGCACCGTGAACGCCGTCGTCGACTGCATCTCGTGACCCAAGGCGACGTACGTCAGTAGTGACACGGCCATCGTCACGAGCGGCGCCGCGTACAGCGTGACCGTGTTGACAACGCGCATGACCTGGTACGTGCGAATGAGCTGGAACTCGCGGAGGCGGACGGCGGTGATGTGCGCCTCGAGGTGCGTCTCCCATGCGTAGAGCTTGACGACGCGGATGCCCTGGAGGATCTCGGACATGAGCTTGACGCGCTCGGCCTGGACGACGAGAAGGCGGCGCTTGACGGCACCGACTTGCGATCCCGAGTAGTACCCGGCACCGAGGAATGCAAACATGAGGACGCCGGCGATCGCACCGACAACGGCGCCGAGCTCGATGCCCATGAGAACCATGATGGCGAGCAGCATCGCAGGTGCAATGATGGCCCAAAAGCCCATCCAGAAGCCAAGCAGCATCTTCTCCGAGTCGACGGTCGTCATTGTCACGACGTCACCGGACGTGAGCGACTGCTTGGACGTCCCCGAGAGCTGTAGTGTCTTGAGAAACACAACATCGATAAAGATGGACTTGACGTTGCAGCCGATCTGCGCCGCCTTGGTCTGAGCATAGTCGCCACAGAGAATCGAGAGAAACGACGACGACGCGAGCAACGCAGCGAGACCGTAGCCCGACGAGACACCCATGCTCGTGGTCACGGGCGTCCCGTCGTCATCGTGTTGGATGAACTGCACAATCGACTTGATGAGCCACGGTTGGAGCAGGTTGAAGCTAGCAGCGACGACGTTGAGCCCCAAGGTGAAGAGAATCTCGCGCCGGAAGGTTCGCCAGATGGCGTGCGAGAGCTTTGGCGTTGCCTTGGCGATCTCGATCGACCACTGGTGCAGGAACCGGGTCGAGACAACGGCGGCCGTGTCGTTGGCGGGCAGTGGCCAGACGTCGTCTTCTTGGAGCGGTCGCGCGGCGCCCTTGCGGATGAGCGGATCGATCCAGGAGAGCGTCGCCGTCGAGAAGACGTTGGCGTGCTCGAGCGGGTGGACACGATCGGACGCCCGGACGTACGCCGTCGTCGTCGGCGCTGCGTCGTCGGTCATTTCGTCGGTGGCAATGCGATTGTGACGACGTCATGAGTCGGCGTCATCCGTTCAACCCTTCAAGGTGTGATCCAATCGCAGCGAGCTCTCGCCATCTGTCACACCCATGGCGGTATCGGTTCGCAAGCGTCTGTCGCAGAACCACGGATGTGGCCCGGTATCGGGTCGCCGGCGCATCGGCACGACGCAGGTACCGGTAGCATTCGATTCTTGTGGCGGGCGCCCCGGGTGTGCGGGCTCAGTGGATGCCACGCTCGGTCCACGACGAACCAAAGTGCCGTTTAGAACTTGAGGAAAGGGTATGACTACCGGTACGTAATACATGCGGTGCTTGCTTAACCTTGGAGAAGGCTTGGGTGCTCAACATTGAAATGCGTTTACAGTTAGGTCCACTACTCTATCCATGGTGAGTTGCGCGCGCCATGGACTAGCAACGCGTTGGTCAGCTCGTCGTTACTGCCAGTTTGCCGCAGCAATACCTTCCCAACAGCAAATCGCTGAGCGTGTGGGCGTTGGGGCGCATCTGGGGGGGCTGGCTTTGGTTGAACGGACACGATCGAGCCCTTCTGGAGTACGAGGTGCGAGACCAAGCTCACGCGCGTCACGTCGGCGAGCTGCCCCGCCGCAATGTAGCCGTACACATAACAGTCAGTGCCGCGTCCGTTGATCGTCGCGAGCGACTGATGGGACGGGTCCGTCGCGAATTGTCGGTATATACTGCCCCCCGAGCAAAAGTCTAGTATGCACATGACGTGGCCGCGTCAATGTCATCCACATCAAGTACCTGTGTCCGTCGGCTTGTGGGGTCGGCACAAATAGAGGCAGAGTCGACGCTTCCAATCGTTGAAGTCAAACTTGGCAAAGGAATTGTCGTCCTAGAGAATGCCACGCCAGGCTATCGGCCTCACTATACAGTAAGTCAGTACCGTCGGCGCCAGGGCAGGGACGGGTGTCGCCGGTGACTTCCTGTCGCTTGGCGCGCGCGCGACCACGCCGAGCTGCACTTGGCGCTGGCTGTTTGCACTCAAGACGGACGAAATGCTCTTGTGGTAAATCAGTAGCTCTGGTGGTTCCGGACGCGGCTCGGGCGCCCGACGCCCCAGCACCACCGGCACCATAGCGAGGATGAAGTAGGTGACCAAAAGGGCGGGAGCTACCTCGACCGTGTAGAAGCTACCGTCGGCGGCTGCCGTCGACAGTGCGCACATGATCGAGTTGGCCATGCCGACGAGCGGATACCAGCGCAGGCATCCGTTGGCGGCTGCGCTGAGGAGCACGGTGATGACAACCGCGAGCACGGTCGTCGATTGAGCGACGCACCCGTGGATCATTCGCTTGCGCCGCAGCAGCCTATTGAACGCCAAGAGCGCTGCGTACGAGAACCAGACGTGGCGACCGAGGTAGTACGCGCCACACAAGAAGCTGCGGGCATCGACGGCGTAAATGACGCGAACAGTTGCATGCAACGATACGTCGGCGCTCGCGAGAATGTCGAGGCAAAAGCCGGCGCAAACAATCGGGCTCGAGACGATAGTGGACGTGGGGTCGCCGATAATTACCTCGTAGCGCTCGACTGTTTTGGATCGATCGCTCAGCGGGTATAGATCAAGGTTCTCAAGGAGGTGGGCGACGTGGCGGTAGTACTGCCGCCATAGAAGCCAGCCAATGTACACACTGAGGAGCACTCGCCACAGGAGCTTGGCGAGCACCCAGCCGCTCGAGTACACGGGAAGCACGTGAATGAACGAGACGGCAGTCGTATTCGGACCCGTCGGCTGCGTCCACGCAATCGACACGGCGATCGGGACCGAGACCAGTTGCATTGTCCACGCGCGAGCTACCGGCGTCGTTGCGCAGAGATCTTGAAGCACTTGCGGGCCAAAGTCTGCCGGGTAGAAGAGCGCACCTGGTGCGCGCGCGACAAGCGCAAACGAGCACACGCTCGCATCGACGGTCGATGTTATAATGTGATATGTGGTGTTGGAGTTCTCCGCCGACGTTTGCTGCTTGTGGTCGGCAACGACAAGCGCGCTCCATGCCGGCGTCGGGGACATCGGTAGACCCGCGTCAAAGTACCCACTGCCGTCCAAGAGAGGCTCGCTCACGTACGCTTTCATGGGGCTCAGAATCAGGCTGAGTGCAAAGAGGCCGGATATGAAGACAGAGCGCTTGTTGTAGCTGACCTTGGTGACGCCACCCGCGTTGAAGTACTTGTGCAGCGAGAGCGTCTTCGGCGTCGGCTGTCGTAGCTTGGACGACTTGCGAGGCAGCAATGGAGCTGGCGTTGCCCACTTCGGCGCATCCAGCATGGTGTCGAGCACGAACTTTTGTGTTTTGCTATTTACGGCTGAAACACAGACACAATAATAGCTTAGGCCTATTGAAACGATCAGTATTGTTGCGAGCTCAAGTCGACGGTCGTACTATGCAGGCGACCGCCGATATGCACAGGACGCCCGGCCGCAACAATACGCATCTTTGAAACAATACTTTTGCAAGGTAGTGTCCAAGAGGACCGACGCTATGATAGCGAGGGAAGAGCCACATCGCTTGCGTTTCTTACCGCGAATCGTATGGCGTGGGACCGCCAGTCACGCTACCAACCATTCTTTCATCACCAACACCGAGCGACGTAGCAAGCGAAATCTTGTCGCTCGTTTTGGATCGACGGTGCGATGTGCTGCGTCGCGCTTGCCCCTCCAGCTGCCACCACAAGTGCAAGCGTCCGCAGCCACACATAAAATCATATGCACCGATTCGCACCCCGGCACACACGCACCATGGTTAGTGATGGTCCATCCCATGTACACAGT